AATATTTAATAATTAATTAATTTAATTTAATTAAGGATTAAATAGTATAAATAACTTAACTGATAGCATGCATATAGTGTTGGATGGCAGTAAATCATGTTGCTTCAAGTTAGTTCTGAAGCTGTACCTGTGTCTTCACTCACCAAAGGTGAGGTATATGGTATAAGGACAAGGTATATTTTGGGAAATCGCAAGTATTGCTCTGTAAGATTGCCGTTACTGAAGGAAGTCTGGGGACTAGTTTCCAATCTTAAGACACCAAAACTCTCACCTGCGCAAGAAACTATTCCGCAGGTACGCAAGATGGATTGCATGTTGCATCTTTTTGGCTGATTTTGTTCGTAACTCGGTGACATAGCCCCATAAACCTTTCTCATCTCCTGCGATAAAACTGAAGAAATAACAGCAAACTGATCCTCAATCCAAATAAGACTAATTGTTTGTGCCCGATATTTCGATTTAAAACACAGAACTTCGTGCAGTAAACAAAAGAAACACCTGTAATCCCCAAATTCGCCGTTTTTGTATGGAGCGCGAGGACTTCTTTTGTTTTTTAATGATTTGGGACATTTAAATAACCTTTCTCTTGTTTCTCGTTGCGTAAGCACGTGCATAATAACAGCCAATCAGGAAACGTGTTTCTTATAATCACGAAGTTGCTTTGTGGCGCAATATTCAAATTTAAAATTCTCTTACAATTATTTCATTCGGGAAAGAAGATTCGAAAGTACACTGCGTATCAAACCATTTTGTACTCTAGAGCAATGATGTCTTTCCCAAACAAGTTCATCGTACCATCTGTGTCAACTTTACTGCAAAATGTGAATGAAAAAGGCGTTACTTTCTCTGTTTATTCGTCGAGACACATTATTGCAGAATTGCAGAGATAGCTGTAACCGAGTAAAAGGTAGGTAGACTTCTGAGACTTATTCGCTTTTGAATTTTTTTGTACGTAGTGAACGATTGCAGTTCTTATCGAGACTAAATGCTCGATAAGGTGGTGTCATTTTTCTGTTTTCAACGTTGAGACTTATTACGAATCCTGCAGTTGTTTCCGGTCCCCCAAACAGGAAGAAGCCAAGCCATATAATAAACATCTTCAAAGTATTAGCCTCGAACTTTAAATTACGGATCCTCGTTTTTTCCATCGATTTATGGGCCGTGCGCTTGGACCATAAAAAACTAGGTCGGTAGTTAACAGTACGGACCGAAAACTCGGCTAATAAGAGGTATACATAGACTGTTCCTTTCTTGCCATGGTATTGCTTGAGTGTCTTGGCCTACTCCGCTTTAATTGCGCCTGCGTGCGATTGTTTACCTATTTGACCGAGACAACCGAAGAAAAGTTCTCAAGGGAAATTTTCTTTGCTCGCACATTGTTACAATTTACTCTTTCCAAAGCAGTTTTTCTTTCTGGGACCTTTCATCGAAGTATTTGGTGAAGAAAGACAAGTAACATGAAAGTACTGTTTAAGGTGACTCGACCCAGTTTTTTTGGGGGGGTACCATCCTACTTTGAAGCTCTCTGGTATCCCCACCTTTACTTTTATCGTAAGTATAGTACATAGAATGGATAACATATAGATCAATCTACAATATAACATAAAATTTTTGGCGATCGGAGTAAATGTCACGTGGTTATAATGCCACGCCCCTTTGAGGTCTGAGTCGAAAATCTGCTGTTGCCGGCATCTTTTCGTGAAAATCTCTCTGCTCTCTCGGAAATTTTTAAACAAAATGTCATCGTAGCGTCGTTTCGAAACTTCTCGAGGTAAACGTTTTCCTTAACGGTTTCAAGTCGTATGAGATTTGTGTGAACACAAATGACCTGTCAAAACAACGTGCTCACGGTTTTTTGATTAGCAAAGAAATTTGCATGTGATATACAGAATTTTTTTCGGCCAATCAGAGATGGTCTTTTTCGGATTCTTCCAGAGGTTAGTGATCCCCGTCGCTGTGCAAAAGAATCTCAGCCTCTGGGAACGAGATTGGTTGTATACTAGAGAATGACCCACTGAGGACATCACATGGTTGTATGTCTGGTCAGTATAAAAAATAGACTGCGGACTGGGTATAAAACACCGACTAGGTATAAAACGCGGACTGCGTACTGGGTATAAAATGGTACATACCTATATGGTGTATATAAGGGGACCCCCCCCCCGGGTCCTGACCACTTTCATGGTTGTTAGAGACCGAGAACACGTCTAAAAATGGTTGTAGAGAATAGTACTTTGATCAGGCTCATGATTCACAGAACCGGGCGGCACACCTCCGCCAAGAATTTCTAGGTGTATTTATAACTTAAACTCACGAGTCTTTCTATTTTGCTATATTTTGATCTTATTTTTTCTTACCTAGTAGCCTGCGTAGCAGGCGCTTGGAAGTAGTGGGCGCAAGAAAAAACGGGCACCCGAGAAGGCGCCCGCCCTTTCTGTCTGTCTGGTAATCTTTCGGTTTGGTATTTTGTCAGGAACTTCCAAACTGTTTCGAAAGAGAGGTGGTCCGAAAATGTAAGGGTACGTGTGATTACGATTTCCTTTTCACTGATAAAGAAACGGCAGTGATGTGGAGTAAAAATGATTTTCGGGGCGAGCCTGTGGATGCCGCGGTTAAAAGAAGAAGTTTTGACACAGTGGTTGCATCACAGAACTTTAATAGCGACGTGAGTGAGATACCTGCGCGAACTCAGTTCAGTTGTTAAATTAACAAGTAAAGGAGACGAAGCTTGTAGTGTCTTAGGAGTCTCTTGGCACGGGCCTCACTCCGCAACGGGACAGAAAAAACAGGATGTCTTGAAAGGCCTCTCTCTCTTTTTGAAAGAGATATGTCGGAAGACGAATGTATCCTCAATTATTATAGGAGGAGACTTCAACTTGAACACTTTAGACGAGAATGGCTTACGAGAATCGAACGTGTACTTTCCATGTTATAAGTTGAGCCCTCGAGGTGAACGTGCGAAAGAACGTAAGGGACCAGGACGTCGCTACATCGCCTACAAGGATAATTTTGCCATTATAACCACTTCGCCTTCTGTGGTTCGCCCTGGAGACATGAAATTGTCGAAAGTGAAGCCCCTTTCAGAGGGAAAAGATATATTGGACCACGACCCCATCATAGGCGTTCTTCAGCTGAGAAGTAGTGGGCGCAAGAAAAAACGGGCACCCGAGAAGGCGCCCGCCCTTTCTGTCTTGCGTCCACTACTTCCAAGCGCCTGCTACGCAGGCTACTTACCTAGAACCAATTAGAACCCTTTTTACCAACGTAGTCCGTAGTCCGTCGCCCCAAAAGGTAGGGTCTTAGGCATTTTTGGGCTGAAAAAACTTTGCTCATTTTGGTCTGGATTCGAGGGAATTACGGGAGCGTACATGTATGAGCGAATTTATCATTTCAATTCCAAATGAATAAGAACGAAATAGAAATATGCGAATTCGAAATGCATTTGAAGACTTTTTTTTGTTTGAGCTCTAATCTGGTAATGATGACATAATTTCTGCCTAATTAGACCTAATCTGTTCCAGGCTCCGAGATAGTTGGGTCCACTGAATTGAGAAAGCGCAAACACGAAAATAAAACTGGAGGAAACTGGGAGTCTCCCCCACCATCTGAGAGCCTGGAACAGGCTAATATAGATCAGGTCTAAAAATTGGTATCGATTTTAGAGATCTGGTCTGAAAACGGGTGTGGAAAATAATAATAATAATAATGAAATATTTATATAGCGCTAATACTTTTCAGTGTTAAGCGCTGAAAATGACAGTTTTTGGTCTGAAATAGGGTTAGGATTCGGGGAACCGGGCGGCACACCCCCACCATGTGATCATGTGATCATAATCATCGGATAGAATATAACGTTGGATGATTCATTTCGGTTATTATTCACGTGTAGGTGAGTAATCTCACCCCCTAAATACTGCTTTTTTACATATTGACCTTAGTCGTTTGAGTTCTTCATTTCCTCATATTCCCAAGCTAAGGCTTTATTTGAAACGGACTATTGGCATCTATAAGAATTTTACTCTAACTAACACCAACACTACTTTTTTTATTCTGTGCTTCTTGTTGGTTTAAAACTATAAATTGAATTCTCTTCTAACTACTTTCTTTTTTTAAAATTCAGAGCTTAATTTCAGTTGCCTTGAGTAGCGGCTTAACCTTCCTTGTTTGTGCAGTATGCTTTCCTTCACCACATGACGCTGACATTGGGAAGAATAGACTGCGTGACCAGCTAAAGGAATGTTTGTGTGTGAGGCAAGAAGCTGGGACTACTGTTTTATGCTAGTCCGCTTTCCGTTTCTCTCAGTTTTTAATACCTTTCTAAAGCCGTTTTTATATACATAGTCCGTAGTCGGCGTTTTATACCTAGTCCGTGTTTTATATCCAGTCCGCAGTCCGTGGCCCGTGTTTTATACTAACCGGTTGTATGTCAAAGACAAGGCTCTTCTGACAAAGGTGCTTGAGGATAGCAACAGATCAAAAGGGCGATTAAAGCCAAGAACATGCAGCTACATGGGCACAAAGAAATCAGTTTGTCTCTTCATTCAGTGGAAGACACACTCTAATTTTCTTGACTTGTGTTATTGTTTCTGTACGTTGAAAAAACAGACAAGGTGTGACTCATAACTTATGGCGAGCATCACGGCATGTACCATAATGAGTTTGAAACAAGGAAAATTAAACTTTGAACCTACGAACCACAAAATAAATATATGTGCGGGTTTTAATTGGTCGAACGGACTCACTAATAGAATACTCAACAGAGTTTTACTTCCGCATCAATGAACTCTGTGGATGAATCAAAACACTTTGAGTCGACTTTGGGTGAATCAGCATATCGTAGCCAGAGGTCAGTTATCACTTTTTGATTCGTGTTTTCTTCGATGAGAAACACTTGGCGGACAATGTTGTAGGCGATTAGCAGTAACTTGACAATTGACACCAGTGTAGATTGCAGAAGCATTTTATACTCTTGTGGGTAAAGTGGAAAGATGGACTGATATATGAAAGCGAATTTCAGTGACACGTCAGCCATGCCAAGTTATTCGGTCATGACCGTCAATATGAACGGGAGTGGAAAACCATTTGAAAGAAGGGACCTGTCATCGAAAATCATAAGAGCGAGCCAGCCGTCTTTGGTATTTTGTCAGGAACTTCCAAACTGTTTCGAAAGAGAGGTGGTCCGAAAATGTAAGGGTACGTGTGATTACGATTTCCTTTTCACTGATAAAGAAACGGCAGTGATGTGGAGTAAAAATGATTTTCGGGGCGAGCCTGTGGATGCCGCGGTTAAAAGAAGAAGTTTTGACACAGTGGTTGCATCACAGAACTTTAATAGCGACGTGAGTGAGATACCTGCGCGAACTTCAGTTGTTAAATTAACAAGTAAAGGAGACGAAGCTTGTAGTGTCTTAGGAGTCTCTTGGCACGGGCCTCACTCCGCAACGGAACAAAAAAAACAGGATGTCTTGAAAGGCCTCTCTCTCTTTTTGAAAGAGATATGTCGGAAGACGAATGTATCCTCAATTATTATAGGAGGAGACTTCAACTTGAACACTTTAGACGAGAATGGCTTACGAGAATCGAACGTGTACTTTCCAAGTTATAAGTTGAGCCCTCGAGGTGAACGTGCGAAAGAACGTAAGGGACCAGGACGTCGCTACATCGCCTACAAGGATAATTTTGCCATTATAACCACTTCGCCTTCTGTGGTTCGCCCTGGAGACATGAAATTGTCGAAAGTGAAGCCCCTTTCAGAGGAAAAAGATATATTGGACCACGACCCCATCATAGGCGTTCTTCAGCTTGAGAAAACTCCGTCAACTGGTAAGTTTTTGCTAGTAAGTGCTGATCTTTACTTGGCCTGTACCAGCGAAGATATATCTACTGAAACTAACTGTTACTTTTAATTTCTGTGCTCCATTTTAAGGTACTTCGCAGGAAGATTAAAAATACTGTAGTTCGTAATCAAAACAAAACGTATCTGGAACCCGGAATAATATAGATTAGAGAGAGCAAACCGGTTCCAATAACACCCATTAAATGGCCATAAATCGGCTCGGAAACCACACAGGAAAGAAGAAACACACAACTTTAAAAGCAAGGTTAACTGATTTTTACTTAAATCCTTTTACATTCGTAGGTTACAGAAACAATTGTTTTTTCTCCCATACAAATCCATTTATTGTGAACGTTATACGCAACAGTGCCGATGGTCATATTTCGAGCTTGGGCCACCTGTGACTGCCGTCCTTTGAGAGAGCTCAGTGACGGCTACAGCTGTTTGGAAGCATTACATTAAATATCTTCATGATTCAAACGCTGTGTACAGTGATCCAGCTGTTTAAGGGTTCATATTTTAGTGTGGATGCTGCTTCAAGACATTTCTGACCTAATTCGGCTATCGCGAACGGCACAACGCTCGTATTTATGAGTTGTGTTTCACCTGCTTCAAGATAGAGTTTAAAAGATCATATATTTTCAACGCTCTTCCAATGAAACAATAATTGGTATTTAGATATGGACTTTAATTCGAAAGTTTGCGGCCTATAAATTGTGGTTTTAGATGTTTGAAAGGCAGCTTATTTTTTTGAAAGCTGTACCGAGTATTGTTTATCCTGTAAACAAGCTTTAAGAATATTATTCTCCCGCTTACAAAGTTCAACAGACCTTTTTCGTTCCGGCAAAAGTGAACAAGTGAACAACAAGTGAACAACATGATACTTCCTTCCTGCATACTACCTATTATAGTTATTGAAACGTATTTTATTTAGTAAAGATGCGTAATAAGTAGAAACAGTAGCTAGGGAATAAAATTGGGAAGAAGCTAGTTGACATAATTATTAGATACTGTTTTATTGAGTGGAGTAACGTGATATGAGTAGAAATATATTTCGGCAGTTTGATAATTTTCTTGGAACGAAATGAATGTTAGGCTATCAGCCTTAACGTTGCTTGAAGCGTAATATAATTGCAGATATTGAAATGAAACCGAGGTGATTTCTTAAAATCTTTTGAGAAAATTTTGTAGTAAACAATTTTCAGTTTTTTTTACGTACGAATTGTAAAAGGGTCAAAGACCAACATCTTCACGTGCAAATTGTGGGCATGAGTTATTTTTATAATTCTGTTTACTGGATTACTGTGTGATAACTCCAATTCCCTCACGTACGCGTTGAACCCGCCACGAAAGGGGGCAAAGTCCAACACTTTCACTTGCAGCTGTCTGACTCTGCATCTCATGCAGATTGGCTTTTCACAATAATAATCAGGGGCACCCAACGACTGTTTTCTGTAAAATATCCGTTCGAAAAAGCAAATATTGCCTAGAATTTTCTACAGCTTGAGAACGGCTAAGAAATTTTAGATGACCGTTCCATTCATGTACAATTTTTGAAGCTTATCAAATAAATTCCCTACGATTTTCTGACGTTTAATTTTTCACATTTCTCTCCCCAGGAAAGGCTATTTTTCGCAGAAAAAGGAAATCTAAAACTTTGGGATTCAAAAGTGTCATGGAGAGAAAAATCCGAAAAATTCTCTCTTTCGTTTAACGGTAAATTGCATCTAAAATTTTCGGGAAAATCATACTGAAGCCCTTGTACTAGTTCGAAAAGGCTCAAGTTGCCGTAGGATGACCGAACAGATACAAATTTCATAGCGCGCCTTAGAATGCATTTCCACATATCTAAAAGTACTCTAGGTAGCCTCAAAAGTGTTTTTAACGTATTTAAGGGTAAATCGTCGTTGGGTACCCCTGAATAATAGTAACTTGAACGTATGAAGACCTGTTTCGTTTTGTAACCTGGAGCCCGTTTCTCAAAAGTCCCGATAATTAACGGGCCCGGTAAGCTGTCTCCGTTTACACTAAAGATCGAGGTTTCAATAGTTTTGCATCTAACATGATAAAACTGTCAGTTAATGAAACAAAATGGAGTTGTTTGCAAGCCAGGACCCGCGCTCTAATTCTTTATATTTCGATTTGAATATTTGATTTCGGGCCCGTAAAGGTACCGGGACTTTCGAGAAACGGGCCCCAGTGCCTTAAAAAAGGCTCTTGTCTTTTAAGAGGCAATAGCTTTCAAAACATGAAGAAATAGGTTGTCGGAATTAAAGACTGTTTCACTAAGTAGAATTGCACGTGAAAACCTAGTGAATTATGATGATGCAACCATGTACCACAATGATAAAAATCCTGGTATTTCGTAACTATTCGGTATTCGATGAGTCACATTTTGGCTTAAGAAACTCTGAGGAAACCTTACAGTTTCCTTCTAATCAACGTTTGGTGAGTAGATATTTATTTTACTTTAACAATTTGTTTAACTTGCACTAGATGTAACAGGGAAAGACAGAGGAAAGTGAATATATAACATGAGGATCGACTCAGCTGAGCGTTTCGCGTTTTCATTTATGTATCGCAATACCCAATTTCGCACAAAAATCCAGTCTGCATTTAGGACGAAAAAGGTAGATTCATCACTCTTGGTAAGGTTACACTGAAGCATTAAAGTTAGACTGAAGCATTCAAAATGGCTCATGCACTTTTAACGTGCCTATGTTATTGGTCAAGTTTGTAAGCGCCCAATTTGTCACGATTTAGATCTGCCGACATTTCAAAAATAACGTCAGTGAAGTTCCAGGTGTGGTTACATACCGGAGTAATTAATAGATAAAAATCGAAATCGATAAAAATCTTCAGCAATCAAGTGATTTTTATCGATTGTTAGCAGAAAACGATGAAAATTTATCTAGGAAAATCTTTTAACCTGAATTTCAGAAATCCCTTCGAATCGAAGGGATGTCTCAAATTCAGGCTAGGAACTCTTTATCTTACAGGCTGTATTTCTCGTGATGCCCTCTTGCGAGAACTGAATGTAATTAAACCGAACTGTTTTTGTTATTATGTACAAAATAAGGGGTTTTAGATCTAGAGAGAAACTTGTGTGTGTAATAGTTTTTTTACATTCCTCATATTTGTCAATCAGTTGTTACTCGTGGATGTGTTTTCTTAGTTGTACTATCTAATTTATACCAAAAAACAACAACAATGGCGCACTTCCGTTATAAATAATTAAAATCATGAAAAATCGATAATATCGATTTGACACAGCAATTTAGTTTATCGATTTTCACCGATTTCCGTTATCAATCGATAAGAATCACCTGATTGCCACCGATTTTTATCGATAGCGATTTTTATCGATTGACTACGCCGGGTTTACTAGTGGAGGCTGGTGTTGTTTGTCATAAAACTAACGTGAAACAGCCTTACTTCTGAAAACAGTAAAACGCATGCTCTATTTAGGAAATGTTTTGTTGCGTTACGTTCTGATTTATAATCTGGAAGTATATTTCAATTTTCACTTAACATTTCTACAACTAAATGTGAGCAAAATGTTCACTGTGCAGAACCCCGGCTATTCTTCGTGCTCCCGATAACTCGAACTTTCTTCGACTTCCCCAGCTAAGGTTCCAGTTATCGGGAGTCGACTGTACATCACAAGTACATTGAAATGACATATAGGCTTATTGAAAAGTTGAAGCGCAAAAGTGGTTATTTTTAGAGTTTTATGCAATGTTTTTAAACTTTTCCTCTCTTTTCAGACCTACGCGCACGTTCGAGGGAGAGAGATGCTTCTGTTGCTACCAAGGGTCCACTGACAAAAAGTGGCAAACCAGATATGCGTTTCCAGGTTAACAAAGACGCTTATGGCCAGCCATCTTTCCAGAAGAGCACGAAAGACTCTCACAGTGAAAGCGAGCGACCACTGACAAAAAGTGGCAAACCAGACATGCGTTTCAAGGTTAAGAAAGAAGCTTATGGCCAGTCATCTTTCCAGAAGAGCACGAAAGACTCTCACAGTGAAAGTGAGCGACCACTGACCAAAATTGGCAAACCAGACATGCGTTTCAAAGTTAACAAACAAGCTTATGGCCAGTCATCTTTCCAGAAGAGCTACAGCTCCAGATCGTCTTCTAGTGGAAGTATTTCTGATGGATCCAGTGCGTGGGAGAGAGATGCTTCTGTTACTACCGAGGGTCCACTGACAAAAAATGGCAAACCAGACATGCGTTTTAAGGTTAACAAAGAAGCTTATGGCCAGTCATCTTTCCAGAAGAGCACGAAAGCTTCTCACAGTGAAAGCGAGCGATACAGTGTTCCTCGTAAAAAGGATGGAACACCAGACATGAGGTACACTGTGAACAAGACACCGTCAACCGTGAACACTGCTTTGCCACTAGGCAACGGAGCAACTCCATTGAGTGGAGATGGTACACCAAACATGGGCTTTGCGGTCAACAAACCAGCGAGAAAACCTGCATCTCCTGCACAAACCAGCCACTCTGCAGTGACGTCATCCTGTTGCGAAGGGCCACTGAAGAAGGATGGGACACCAGACATGAGGTTTGCTTTCAACAAGCAATCTGCTTCCTCAATGTCGTCATTGCCATCGTACAGCAGTGCATGTGGTCCAATTAGGAAAACCGGCGCACCAGATATGACATATGCAACAAACAAGCCATACTATGATGGTCCATCGTCCTCAGAGTATCGGTCTGGTGGTTCTTTCTACAGCACTGAGTTATTGGCCAGTCTCGCATCTCCTGGTCCGCTTAAGAGCGACGGTACTCCAGACATGAGATATGCTGCAAACAGATCTTTATATGCGAGTCCATACTCTTACGGTGGATCAAACTACAGCTCAGGATCGTCTTCTATTGATGGCACACCAGATATGAGGTATGCAGCAAACAAGCCTTGCTATGATGGTCCATCGTCCTCAGGATATTGGCCTGGTGGTTCATTCTACAGCGCTGAGTTATTGGCCAGTCTCGCATCTCCTGGTCCGCTTAAGAGCGACGGTACTCCAGACATGAGATATGCTGCAAACAGATCTTTATATGCGAGTCCATACTCTTACGGAGGATCAACGTACAGCTCCGGATTCGCGTCTTTTAGTGAAAGTAGTTTTCATGGATCCAGTTCGTGTGGACCACTGAAAAGTGATGGTACTCCGGACATGAGGTATGCTGCAAACAAGTCTTTATATGGTAGTTCGTCGTCGTATGGGGGATCAACCTACAGCTCCGGATTCGCGTCTTCTAGTGAAAGTAGTTTTGATGGATCCACTTCATATGGACCACTGAAAAGTAATGGTACTCCGGACATGAGGTATGCTGTAAACAAGTCTTTATATGGTAGTTCGTAGTTCGTCCTAGTATGGGGGATCAACCTACAGGTCCGGATCGTCTTCTAGTGAAAGTAGTTTTGATGGATCCACTTCATATGGACCACTGAAAAGTAATGGTACTCCGGACATGAGGTATGCTGTGAACAAGTCTTTATATGGTATAGTTCGTAGTTCGTCGTCGTATGGGGGATCAACCTACAGGTCCGGATCGTCTTCTAGTGAAGGTAGTTTTGATAGATCCACTTCATATGGACCACTGAAAAGTGATGGTACTCCGGACATGAGGTATGTTGTAAACAAGTCTTTATATGGTAGTTCGTCGTCGTATGGGGGATCAACCTACAGGTCCGGATTCGCGTCTTCTAGTGAAAGTAGTTTTGATGGATCCAGTTCGTGTGGACCACTGAAAAGTGATGGTACTCCGGACATGAGGTATGCTGTAAACAAGTCTTTATATGGTAGTTCGTCGTCGTATGGGGGATCAACCTACAGCTCCGGATTCGCGTCTTCTAGTGAAGGTAGTTTTGATGGATCCAGTTCGTGTGGACCACTGAAAAGTGATTGTACTCCGGACATGAGGTATGCTGTAAACAAGTCTTTATATGGTAGTTCGTCGTCGTATGGGGGATCAACCTACAGCTCCGGATTCGCGTCTTCTAGTGAAAGTAGTTTTGATGGATCCAGTTCGTGTGGACCACTGAAAAGTGATCGTACTCCGGACATGAGGTATGCTGTAAACAAGTCTTTATATGGTAGTTCGTCGTCGTATGGGGGATCAACCTACAGCTCCGGATTCGCGTCTTCTAGTGAAAGTAGTTTTGATGGATGCACTTCATATGGACCACTGAAAAGTGATGGTACTCCGGACATGAGGTATGCTGTAAACAAGTCTTTATATGGTAGTTCGTCCTTGTATGGGGGATCAACCTACAGGTCCGGATTCGCGTCTTCTAGTGAAAGTAGTTTTGATGGATCCAGCTCGTGGGGACCACTGAAAAAGGATGGTACTCCGGACATGAGGTTTAAAGCCAATAGACGCTAGTATCTTAGTAATTTAATTGACAGTACCTAACTCTTTCACTTCGTGGTACAAGTCGTAGATTACGTTGTGTTGAATCCTATTCCATTCCAGAATGGACATAAAAACTGTTACCTTTTGTTTTTGTTTTTGTACTTACCAACTTTTTATATATTTTGTAACGAAGGTACGTTATTTCCTCCTGTTTTTAAGTCAAGGTGGATGCTGTATAGTTTTTTCCACCAGTCTTTTAGCCTGGCCGTGGAGTCGTACTTGAGTTATGGAACTGAGACTGACATCAACCATCAGGGGCACCCAACGACTGTTTTCTGTGAAATATCTGTTCGGAGAAGCAAAAATTGTCTAGAATTTTCTATAGCTTGAGGAAGGCTAAAAATTTCTAGAGGGTCTCAATGGGGTTAACCGATAGGCGTAAAACGGCCAAAAATTTAGTCGATAGCCGTAAAAATTGAAAAATTTTAACCGTTAGCCGTAAATAGGGTAAGAAAGAGTTAACCGTAAAAGAAATTGTTCCCTAGATTTGTTAGTTTTAAGGAAGGTGCTAAACTCACTTATTGTTGTGTTTTTATTTCCCGGCTACTTTGACTGCGTACGCACGTTAGGAAAAGCGTCTAGCTTTTAGGTGTTGACCTAATTATCAAACGAATAACCCGTCTCACCCGAATAATCCGCCTCTAGTGTGAAAACGGCCATTTCTGTTATAAATGAATGTCGCGCCCCGGCCTTGAGTGGGGCGTTTGCGCCAGTTTCACAAAGATTATTTTTAAATTGACTGTTGACATTTGTATGCGTAAAATAATATCAGAAGTGGAAAACTTTATAAAAAGTTTGGTCTATCAAATATTAAAATTTTTCAAAAGAATGGCTTATTTCATCCCGAGATGATCCTAAGACCTTTATTTTGCTTTAAAGATACAAAAAATACAGGTTTATTAATATTTAACTCCTTGAAACAAAAGAAATTAATTTTTAACTTTGTTGTTAACCGTAACTGGAAAAAAATAACCGGTAGCCGTAAAAGAGCCTAAATTTTAGCCGATAACCGTAAAAGCCACCACCCCATTGAGACCCTCTTTCTAGATGAACGTTCCATTCATGTACAATTTTTGAAGCTTATCTCATAAATTCCCTACCCTTTTTTGAAGTCAAATTTTTTTCATTTTACTCCCCAGGTTAAGCAATTTTTCGTACAGAAAGGAAACCTAAAATGTTTGGAGTCGAAAATGCGATGCAGAGAGGAATAAAAAACTCTCACTTTCGTGAAACTTTTAATTGCAGCTAAAATTTTTGTGAAAGTAATACAGAAGCCCTTGTAATTTCGGAAAGACTCAAGTTGCCCTAGGATGACCGAACAGATATAATTTTTTTTAGCGCTACTTAGGGTATCCAGAGTACTTTTAGATCTCCAAAAATGTAGCCTAAAAAGTGTTTTCAAAGGAGGAAACCGTCGTTGGGTGCCCCTGAACTATTGTAACAAACGAACTGTCCCAGTGCGATAGATAGTTATGTTCTAAAATTGCCCCTGTTAGTGTTATTTCGAGTCATGATCTTGTATACGAGAAGGTTAAATTGGTAAATAGTTATAAATGCACGGATAGAATCTAGTAACCGCTAAAAATTGATTTTAAAAACGGAATCCATCAGGAAATTGAGTAATTTCAATTTTTAGTGGACACAAACCTTGTACCAGAATAATTTAAACGATATCGCATTCCTTTTTACATTTTTCAAGGGCTATATAGATATAGTTAGCTATCTGTAATAACACCAAAGACTATTTCTCATGGGAACCCGAGAAAATAAATGTCAAATTTTTACAAGGATTGTGAAAACACAGGTAAAATTCTGAAAAATTCATTTGTAAGGTGTCATTTTGTGAAATTTGAAATTTATTTTCTGGCGCTCTCATGAGAAATTTTCTTTGGTGTTATTACAGATGACTTAAATTACATCTAAATAGCCCTTGAAAAATGTAAGAAAGAATGCGATATTGTTAAATTATTCTGGTACAAGGTTTTTGTCCACTCTTCTATTCTCTCTACTGTCATCTAAGTAAAAAACTGTCGCTCAAAAAAAGGCATTAAACAGTGCCTAGGAGGTCTGAAATACAGTCAGAACACAAAGAAAAACAAGAAGACGATAAAGGTAAGCTTGCACATTTTGCTAATTTAGTGAGCAAAGAATATTTCTCATACAACGTCTTATGATTTTCTTTTTATATGAATAGTTAATTAGCTTAGAAGGGTAGTGTTGTTCTCGGGCTCTTGGCATCCTAAGCGGCCTGAAACGCAGTCAACACACAAATAAACATAAGAAAATACACAATGCAAGCTTAAAAGGAAAAATTAATGCACGTTTCACTCAATTATTGCGAAATAGGCTAATTCTGTTACAACGTCTTATAATTGTCGCGGTATAAATAATTAATTAGCTTAGTAGGATAATGTTGTGCAGAATTAAGGTTAAAAACCACTGCAAAAACCGTGTACGATCAATCTTGCTCAACGTCGGATCCAAAAAGATCGTGATCAGTCAAAATGGATCAAATTTAAAACGTTACAGTCAAGAAGTCTTTTGCAGGGACTGATCAAACGACGTGAAATAGAGTTTAGCTGCGATATTTTGACTGGCCAATACAAGTCTTCATCAGGTTTATTGAGATATCACGAATTTACATGTAGAAATATATATGAAGTAAAATAATGACCGGAAATTACATATAATATGACGTGGTATGGTGTGGCTACTTAAAAAAGACAAGATAAAAAAAAATTAAAAGATATACTATATATAGTTACAGTTCATCACGTTTATTAATGCCCAGAGGCTCAATTGTTTTAACTTTGTGGATAAGGTGAGCTTCGCTTGCTTTCCAGAAAGAATCACGCCCATTTTTAGGTTTTTCAATAGGAATCAAAAGCATGTGATTGTCGGAATGGTTACTGGTTAGAAAGTGTTCTGAAACTGCAGTATGGATGTGATTACCAGTAGGGTTGAGTATAGGTCGTCTGTGTTCATTAAAACCGTCTTTAAGGCGACGTTTAGTTTCTCCAACATATTGTAGATTACACAGGCGACATTGAATCAAATAGATAACATTAAAAGTTTCACAACTGATATGAGATTTGATGTGGTGGGTCTCACCTGTGGGCTCGGTGATCATTATCAACAATATGCCACTAGCATTGGTTACAAAAAGGAAGCACACTCTAGTGACAAATGCAACGATTAGCGAAGAAACACTGTGATTAAAAAATTTTAAAATCTTCTAAATGTAAGGCCCGGGGGGGGGGGGGGTACTCCCTAATATGGGCTATATAGGTATGTGCGGCCCCAAAGGGTAGGGTTTTTCAGCCGTTTTGGTCATAAATTGGGTATCGATTTTGGCTATTTTGCCGCCATTTTGGTCATAAATAGGGTAACGATTTTTGCACTGTAGTCTTCAATGCACTTTTTTAGAAGAAGCTACTTCCTTATCATGTCCCCCTCCTTCCATCCGCGCTTTGCCTTCCTCTCCACCGGCTGCTTTGTAGGCTAGAAAATACAAGCAACAAAAGCCCTTCACAAATTATGTTCCAGGTCATAAATAGGGTATCAAATTTTTGGTTACGTCATAAATAGGGTAGGGAAAATCGCAGATTTTGGTCATAAATAGGGTAAGGGTTTTGGGAAGCGGGCCACACACCCCTACCCAATTTTTCTGCGAGTACCCCCCCCCCCGGGATGTAAGGTGATGCGAAGTCACCTCCTTCCACAGCAGAAAAGAACTCCTAGAATATGAGTTAGAAAAGAATAACCCGAGTAAGGTGTAACCTTGGATACAAAGGAAAGAAAATTAACCATGCTCAAGAACAAGATCATTCATCCTTTTATGTCCACGAATAGTTTTCAGGCGTTTATCCAGCCTATACACCTGTAAGCCCTATGCTCATTTAGTTGTTCAGATCATTTCTTTTTAACTTCTATTGAAACGTTTATGTTCATATCTGTATTTAGGTGTAAACTATACTCAAAATTCTACTGTAGAGGCAGTAATGTTCTTCTTTATTTCTTCTACAAAGTACAAAAGATCCGTCTGCTCAAATTTCAATAACAACTACGGCTAGTGTTGGCTGAGGAACGAATGAAGCGACAAACATTTTTCTCTCACACGGCTGGGAGTATGGGTTCGAGTGTGAGGGAGTCTTCAGGTGTTCAAAAGTTTAGTTTGGTTACCATCAGCCATTGCCTGACCTGCTCCACCCACCCACCCTCTATGTGTTTTTGAGGTAGTGACGTAGTTCTGATTTGTTATAGTATCTAGTCTCAGTTTCTTGTCAGCCTTCTTTTTAGGATTTTTGTGCTGTAATATCAGTGATCTGTGATGTTGTTGGTCAGGCTGCATGGTTGGCTTGGCGTGGCTTCCAGTTCCCCCGCTCCCAGTTGTGTTTGAGAAAGTTAAATAAGGCAACACTTGCTATTTTTTTTCCCCAAACATAGAGCCTGTTCACAGGTTATGACTGTCATAGACAGTTGAACCTCTCCAAAACGGCCACCTTGGGGACAGAAGAAAGCGGCCGTGTTAGAGAGGTTTAAACAAGAGTCAATGTATGGACTGTTCGCCACGAAAAAAAGCCCTTGTAGAGACGTGGCGGTAGTGGATGTTCGACTGTATCACGTTCGTTTGTATGAGACTTCAATATAACAAACCTATTCACAGAACCCTGGTTCTTATCGTGTTTCCACGGTCTCATTCATGAAGCGGCAACGGGAAGACGAAATTAGTTACTGTTTGCTAAGCAGGAACAAACCTATATACAAGCCTATTCACAGATCCCTGGTTCTTATCGTGTTTCCACGGTCTCATGCATGAAGCGGCAAAGGGAAGACGAAATTAGTTACTGTTTGCTAAACAGGAACAAACCTATATACAAACCTGTTCACAGATCCCTGGTACTTATCGTGTTTCCACGGTCTCATGCATGAAGCGGCAACGGGAAGACGAAATTAGTTACTGTTTGCTAAACAGGAACAAACCTATATACAAACCTGTTCACAGAACCCTGGTACTTATCGTGTTTCCACGGTCTCATGCATGAAGCGGCAACGGGAAGACGAAATTAGTTGCTGTTTGCTAAGCAGGAACAATAACGAAACAAACTTTGGTGTTGTGCATGGAAGCTATGGGCACTGTGTTTGACGTCGTATATCAAACCAGTGGACAACGGAAAAACCACTCAAGTGAAGTACTTGAAATTAAAAATTAGCATATGTTTGCACGGAAATCATTGTTAAGATATTGGGTAGAAAGACCGTTGCTGACAAAATTGTTCTTGGTTCGTCGCAGAGTGCATAACTGGAGAAAGAGTGTTCCACAACAAGGGCGGCTGCTACATAATTTGCTTTTATTTTAGTTTATTATGGAATAGATCAATACGGACACTGGATAATACATGTTTTCGTTTGGAATCTATTGTGTTACCAGTCTTTTTGCACTGGTAACAGGTACAATGTGATAATATCTGGGAAACCGAACTGTTCCTTCATCTCTCATTGACCCTCGTTGAAATAGGGCGAGTGAGCCGACCTTGTATACATTATATTAGCGACCTTAAACTTCGACTTTTCAGTGACATTTTAACCGGAAGACGTAATTAGTGACTGTTCAGTAATCAGGGACAAAGATGTATCGTGACTGAGTAAATGTGTTAAAAAGGCCGGAAAAGGGCTCCAAGTGGCACTTAAAAACGTGCGACCGGATGACCACTAACAATGAGAAATGAACGTGTTCTTCATCACGTTGACTTGAAGTCGGTATCTACAATAACTTTGTTACCCGGTCTTGATGACATCGACCCCCATATGACCCGGGACTAGGTTTTAAGAGGTCGACGTACGTAGACGTTTTGGAAGGAAAAACGGAATAGCTTAAAAGTAGGCTGCAAAGCAGGCGCAAATTGGGGAGTGAACATGAGAGGGTAAGGCTACTCAAGAGATACACTTATACATTTTCGGAAAATAAAGAAGCTAACCGCGTCTTTGTTTGCTCAACTGTGTTAGTGTTGAGTTGGTGGACATTTGAGGAAATAACAGTTTCTCTGCCAATGTTAGGATTGTTCATGGACAACTGATGTGATTCGCCTTCATTTGTGGGCAAAGTCACTCGAAAAAGGTTATAGATTCAACGTTATTAAGAAGGAATAAAAAGAGAAATGTAACATGCACTTAGAAGGCACTAAAACGTGAAGGATAATAGATGGTAAACAGGAACACGAAGCAGGCGTGCATTCAGCCTAAGTAGTTTGTTTTTTTTCCTCTTTTTTTCTTTACACAAAGTAAGTTTGCCGGAAACAGGCTCTCTGATTGCGGGCACCGGGTTTGAGGGTGTGACTATTCTTTAGAAATTACTATCCTCGAGGAAAATTCTTTGTCGCAGCAAATGCTACTTAAAGAGCCTCGTTAGCGGTAGAACTGCATAACTGCACCTTCAAACCTCTGCAGAAGGAACAAGGGAAGTATTTCTTAGCTGTGCTATGGCAAACAATAAGGACCCCGAACCAAAAGTGGAATTTAGTGACAACAAACCTTTAGATTCGAAGGGGTCTTCTCGTAAGTGGAAAGTGCCTCTCCTCATTGGAATCCTTACCGCCATTCTGCTACTGGGTGCAGTTGTTTCTGTTTCAGTGTATTTCTCGCAGAAGAAGGCAGCCCCATCTCGATTGGCAGACGTTAATCTAGAAGAAGGAGAGACTCTGACCTACCGAGTAAAGCAGGATATAGAGATACAAGGAGGCGATACTCATAAGGGTGTGTTTATATTTAAACGCTTTTACATATATGTTTTCTCTAAACTAAGGAATACAGTATTTTGAAGGAATCTATTGGTTTAATGCCTTAAAATTCATGTATACTAATCGTTAAATAGAAGCTTCCTTTAATTGATTTGTATAGATTGTTTAATTTTCTCGTTTTTAGTCTTTTTTTTTGAGACTCACTAACCATTATCTGCAATCGTGAAAGTTTTGACTTGAAGAGTACTGACCTTGAAAATAATTATAACTAGATTACAATGCGAAACTAGTTCCTTTACTTTGTTTTCATCTATCAGTAATTGACATGATACATCGTTTTCTGGCAGGTAATATTTCGTTTTTGATCCAGCCGACTCTTCTGTTATAAAATCTACCACTTGTTTCTCAGTTTGTTATCGTATCTACTCACGTAAACAAGAGAAATTTTATCCTAGAGGTTCTTTGATTCTTAAGACCTCCTACCTCAAGACGAGCGGAGAAGGGAGAGAGAGAAGGGCTTAATTAGTAACTTTACTCAGAGCCAAATATGCGAGTGATAATTCAACTAGTATTCTGAGCTGTCGCCCAGCTTCAATGAATACGGTATACACTATGCATTCCTTTTTGAAAAACCTCCTGTAAATATCTAAAACGGAGACTGCAGGGGCTTGCAAGTACAACAAGAGCCACTAGAAGAAAAATGTTACTTTTTAAGCCATTTGTGTATCATTCTTATTTTTGCCCTGATTTTTTTTTATTTTTAATTTAGGGTTTTGGTTTGTTTGTTTACCTTATTTCTTTCAAGGAGGAGAGCTATCAGAGACGGGTGCTTATCAGCGGGGGGAGGGGGTGGGGGCTTAGAACGTTTATGGAATGTAGTCGTGATTTAGTGACCAGTCAAGGAGCTATACATGTTTTGAGTGATGTTTTTTCGTGTTTGTGAAGAGGCAAAGTTAGACCAAAACGAACAAGGGTAGTTTAGAATTTACGATAAACATGTGGGATTGACAATAAGAAACTTGAAACTGGTGTTTTGTCTAAATTTTTAGAGGTGTCAGGACTTGCTGCTAACTAAACACATTCTCAACTGTTTCTCATTATTTTATTGAACTTAACAGGTACTATCCATGCCATTGTTGCAATACGAGTTCTAAATAAAACATCAGACGAGTATTGGTTTGCTGTGAAAGTAAATTTCTCTTATGTTCCTGGAAATGTGGATCTACGAGAAGAGAAAACAATGATGACGGATTATTTCGTTGTGCGTCTCGAAACTTCCAGAAGGTATTCAACTAAATCAGTTCTTTCTTTTAATTCTTATGTTAAGCTTTATATCAAAAGAATTAATTTTCGTCGATCAAGACCAATTTATAAGCTGTCGGCAATTTCCTCGTCTCTGCAAAATATACAAATATATAACTGCGTAATAATTGCATGACTCTCCCAACACCCTCTCGTGCATATATCAGGCTATAAAAACAGGAAAAACGTCTTTTGTTGCTCAAAAAGTAGAGCTTTTCGGTATGACAAAGTTGAAATAGGGTCTTAGTTTTATAACCATAACGTTTTGAGCATTTTTTCCAAAAGCACTCTCGATAGGCAAAATACTGTATCACAATTTTTTTGGTTCTCCCTAGATTGCAGACTCAACCTGCAAATAACGGGAGCAAAGAATCTTTTGAACTTTACGGAAACAGGACAACAAACAAGGAATTCATTAGTTTCATATACGGAATCCTTGATCAGCTTCTTCCAACCTTGCAAAGAGATCTTTACGAGGAAGTAGATAAAGAAAAATTTGGTTCCGTGGTACCATTGAGCCCTGAGAGGTCTTCGCGGATTCCAGGAGCTGTAAATATGCACAGGGTGGCACAGACATCGGACAAGGACGCCGTTTTCATCAACAATCGTTTTAATCGTTCAGATTTTGTCAACTTTACATCAGATATAGACATGGACATGACTTATAATGATTTGGCCTCCATAAACAAAAGCAATGGAATGGTAACAGAGAGCCATGCCTTCTTGTCCGAGCAACTGAAGTTTGGAGAGCCGATTCGAACCAAAAGTGGACCAAATGTTACGATGCTGGACGTGTCAGTATCCAGTCACGTGACTCGTATAGAGACCCACGCCTTTCACCTAACAGAGGCTGAAGCCGCTCATATCAGAGTCCAATCATTTGTGAAGTTGGTTCCACCGGAGTCCATAAGTTCGATCACGCCTTCTAATTCGAGTCTCGAGTCATCCACCAATTCACCTTACACCCAGAACATTTCCACACCCACCTCAACTCCGAAGAACAAAAGCCTTATTAGACAAAAGAGGAGTTTATCAGAAAAATACGAGAAGGGAATCCACCTTTTTCAGAAGGAGGTTATCGGAATTGACATATCGGGTGAGGCCAAAGTTTGGACAGAAGCGAACCTTAACCAGGGCATCACCGTTGGCGCGGAGATCATCGTAAAATTTGGGGCTGTGGCTGTGGAAGTGTTTAAGCGCACATATGAATGGAAAGACGAGACTAGAGCCGAAGACCCACTAACGTTCTCACGACCTTATTCAATTGTAAGTATACAAGTTCTTTATTTTAATACAGACAGGGTTATCTGTGGAATCTTTTGCACAAGAGCAGCTACTCTCAAAATACTCTTCCCTACCTAGGAGTATAAATGGGTACAGGTTTACAAAATTAAACTGGCAAACTGTTGGGGTATAACTGCATCTGTTCGTGTCTACAGGGGTGGATCTAGAAAATTTAGAAATGACGAAAGTACCCGAAAAAGTTGGTGCGATTTCAAATCACTCGAAAACAAAACATTAACGTCCACTTAAACAAGACTCTATAAAAAAGTGGAGAAAGATGACACAGCCTCAGTCTGTTAGATCCGCCCATGGTTAACGAAATCAAGTTAAGCTCCACTTGCATTAATTACCGTAAAATTTCGAAAATAAGCCCTGTGGCTTATATCTTTCAAAGGCCCTTTTTAAGGGGCTTATTTTTGGAAGGGCTTATATTCGAAGGGGCTTATGTACGGAGGGAAATTTGCATTTCAAAATCGATTAAGCTGGCTTGTAGTGGGATGGAAATTTACCATTTTTGCTTTGTTTTGCTTTGTATTTGAGGTCAAATTCCAAGTACAAGCCCCCCGGGAGGATTATATTCGGAGGAGCGATTTAACGGAGGGTTTTTTGTGTTACAATTTTGGGGGGCTTATATTTGGAGGGGCTTATACATGGAGGGGCTTATTTTCGGAATTTTACGGTATATTTCCAAGGCCTGTATGGGGATACAAAGCTGTTTCATATCTATCACATGATTTTTAATCTTTTCATCATTATTCATCATATAACTGACGACTACAATTAGTTCGATAGAAACGTCACCTTTACATAACGTTTGTTGAAGTAAACAAGGAACCTGCCTTTTGCCTGTGCACAAAAAGGCAAACAAACAACCTTTCGACGCCGGTTTTAAGTTCTTTAGGGAAGGATAAACGTGACAATGTTTGTTTTTGTTTGCTTTTAAGACCAGGGAAACTGTTGTATACGGCGTAACACTTGGTGTGGAGTTCAGCCTGACGCTTGAAGCTTCGTTAGACTTTACCTTTTCTAAGAGTGGCTCAATACTCATTTTTAAGGTATGTGAAATGGTAAATTGAAAGGGTAATTGAATACCTGAGTACCCAGGGGCCCCACTCACATATTTTAATGACGGGGGTGGGGCCGACAGAGGTTCATATTTTATACCCCAAAAAATCCCAACTTCAGAATTTGTCTACCCAAAAAAATCCCTACTTTTTTTAGCATACCCAAAAAAATCCCTCAGTGTTTTTGCATCAGTAAATTTTATTATTTATCTTCTGGAAAGCTAAAAACATGCCAACTTCAACTTTGGTTTTGGTCAAAAACAAAACTACAAATTGCGCTTATGTTATTTTTGATTTGAATACAATTCCCCAAAAAATCCCTCTGTTGTTTTTGCGACCCAAAAAAATCCCGGCGTCTTTCATAGACCCAAAAAAATCCCTTTTGGCCAAAATGTCGGACCCAAAAAAATCCTTCGGACCCCCCTTCGTCATTAAAATATGTGAGTGGGGCCCCTGGGCCTGAGTACCTGCTAATAGCCGAAGCAACTTGAATGGACTTGACTTGATGACTTGATGACTTGAAGACTGACCCAACTCCCCGGGCCCAACTCTTCCCTAAGACCAGTCGTTTCTGAGAGAATCTCTCGCAAGAATAGATGCGACTTTCTGTCCGCCCTTCGTTGCGTGCCTCTGTGACCAGCTCCAGTATCTTTTGTGCTTCTAACTAGCCTGTGCCAGGCTCTTGGTAAGTGCAGACAAGCAAAAAAAGCGGGCGAGTAGCGAAAAAGTGAGCGAAAAACGGAAGGAAGAGATACGTGAGAGCTGGGAAGAATCTTTTACCCACCACTACCCATTTCCAGAAAAACCGTTTCGAACCGTTTCTTGTGTCAGAATATCAAATATATATTTAAACGAGAAGCCAGGAGGGAGTGTAAGAATTTGAGATACTGGGAATACGAGACTCACGCTTCCAGCTTGTAAATATAGATTGCTTTCTTCAAGGTCTTAATATTATCAATGAATGAACTTGGACCTAAACTTCCCTCAAGTTCTGTGACTTTTTCATACCTTACAACTGACCCATTGTAGTACCATCAGTACGTGACCTTGGTTTGTAGTAATTGAAATGCTTTTCTCTTAGATGAAGTCTGTTGGGGAGGCTACGGCTTCCATCACTGGATTTGCTGGTGTCTGGCCTGTTTATGCGGGAGCTAGAGGATCTGGAACCATCCTCAAACTTACTTTACCAGTTACACTAACAGCCGCAGAAGGAGTTCTAAGGGACGCGTCGGCCAGTCATTCACTGGATGGAGTGTGCATCCAATTTTGTCCTCATCTCACTGCTTTAAAGTTAAGTGCTAGATCTGTTTATGGTGAAATTGAATGCGGCTGGTTCTGGTGCTCTTGGTCAGGCTGGAGGGATTACAAAACGTTTTTTGAGTCGGATGGTTTCGAAAAAGGATTAGGCCAATACAGGAAGTGCTTTCCCTAGCCACTGAGCTGTAAAATACAAGTGATAAAAGTTGTAAAGACTTGTTCCCTTGACTTGGAAATAATGGCATGTACGCTGCTCTTATATAAAAACTTATCAAAAGACCCTTAAAACTGGTAAAAAAAAAATCTCGGTTTATTTTTCGCAGTTCGACTCGTTACCCTTGTTAAGTAATAAATACAGTCGACTCTCTCTAAACGGACACCTCTGTAAAAGGGACACATTAACTGGGGAGTTGGTCCCTGCCTTTTTTTACACCTTTTATTTGACTCTCTATAAGACGGACACCCAGAGTTCCTCCCTGTCTTCCTTTACTCCCTTTATTTGACTCTCTATAAGACGGACATCTCTCTAAGACGGACACTTAGTACCTGAACCGATCCCAAAGGTTTCTGTCTTAGAGAGAGTCGACTGTAGATATACTTGGCTTTGATGTACAGTAAACTCTGTCTAAGTAGGACACTTTTGGGAACGGTAGTAAGTGTCCATCTTATAGAGAGTCAAATAAAGGGAGTAAAGAAAAACAGGGACCAACTCTGAGTGTCCTTTTTACATAGGTGTCCGTTAAGAGAGATTCGAATGTATACTACAAAACAAATATATTAGTTTACCGTCTGTCTGGCTTCTCAAAGATATGGCCTGATTACATGACCTTGTTTGCCGCGTTGCCTAGATCCCAGCACTTCAATCAAACTCAACAAAACTCATTTTTGTCATTACATGACAAAGCGGCCAAGACCCTCAGTTGGGGCCATCCCGAATCATGTAGTCAGGCCCAGAGATCACATCGAATCACAGATGACGTTAAAATGTGCCATCAGTGTGTATTGACAATTATTACGGCTTTTCGTTACGCTCATTTCTTGTAGGGCAATTTTTTTTTAACTCTGTGATTATCACTAGCTACTAACTTGAAACACCTCAGTTATATCTTTCTCAAAAGAGACTTAGGTGATTGAGAGGTGCATATAACAAGTCTAGATCTCTGCTACACAGCAAACTCGTTCCCAGGGTTGTTTCGAGTAGGAGAGAGCCGTGGGAGCGAAGGTTGGCTACGCAGGCCACAAAAATGTCTAAAATGAGTACGGTCAATGAGTTCCCTTAAATGAAAATCCCAGCTTTTTTTCTGAGAGAGTTTGTGTGGTGTGTAAGTTCTTTTTATGTGATACTTTTTTTTAAATTGTTAGTCCCTGAAGTAAACTTGTAGTGAACATGTTTTACGGAAACTAAAATGGTCGTTTTTACAATTGACATAAATCAAGGACCATCAAACTGATCAATATTTCTGAGCAATTATACCTTCGGTTGCATTTTTAGAGCTAGTAGTTGGGAAAACGCAGTTCATGCAAATCACGAATCACGCATCACTGACGATTCACGAAAACAGGAGCTCTCCTCGACTTTGGAAAAGTCCGAAAATCTTTCCCATCCTCCAAAAAGGACAGAAGGGACTGTGGGGGAGGGCTCCCTGATTTGGCCTAAACGGGTATGTGCCGCGGAACAATGTATGGTTTTGAGGGTCTTTTTAAAATCTTAGAAACCCTATACAATTTCACTTGGTGAGGTGTGGTCTGTATTTATTGTGGTGACAGCATTTTTTCAGTTCCAAAAAGTCTAAATCTGCGATTTAAATTTGAAAATTAATTAACTCCCTGGGAGTAAGGAAACTAATCAGGTTTATAAAATAAGGTTCCTTGGGTAAGGGTAAAGAAGTGAACGATTTTTGTGGGGGTCAGGGTTTGAAGGCCTCTGTGGCACACCTCTGCTCAAATGTTTCTTAAGTACTCCCCCGGGAGTAGGGACAATTTACTTCAGGGACAAGTGTGTGCAGTAGTTTATTTAACCATAATAGTCATAGTAACCATTGTGTGAGATAATCTAAGATTGTGTGAGACTTTGCATTTATTACATATACGGAATAAAGTTGTAAACTGTGAGCAGTCTCTTGTTTTTAAAAGCCTCGACTTCGTCTCGGATTTGCATAACCGCCTCGAATTCCCCAACACCCTCTTGTGACTCTTGTGTTTACATTAGGGACCGGTCATTATTTATTGCCCGGGGGGGCGGGGGATTTGGGACTAAACAAGGTGAAATTTAGCCGATCTCCCCTTTGAATGTTACTTAACTGAAGTGATCCCCCCTAATAACTTTTGATGACTTTCGCGATGCCCCTCCCCGCAATGTCTTTATTTTCCAAGCAAATTTAAGTGGTCCCCCCTATGAATCCTTCCAAAGTTTTCATTGATCCCCCCTTTTGGGTTCTCAGTTACGACTGATCCCGCTTTTGTTCTCCTAAAAATAAAGTGATCCCCCCCCCAAATCCTCCCCCCTCCCTCCTTCAGGCGATAAATAATGGCCGGTCCTTTAGCTTATGCAAACATGGTTAAAAAAATTTGCATAACCTTTGTTTTTCATTTATCCTGGCTATTTCGTCGTCCCAAGAGAAGTAAAGACAGTGCTCATGCAAAAGGAGGAGGAGGGAAAACTAAGGTATATTTTGGGAAATCGCAATTCTTCAAGTGGTGAATTACTTAATGAGATTGTCGTTACTGAAGGAAATCTGGGGACTAGTTCCTAGTCTCGAGACGCCAAAACTCTAACCCGCGCAAAAAACTATTCCGGCAGTTACGCAAGATGGAATGCATTTTGTATCTTTTTGACTGATTTTGTTCTTTACTCGGTGACATAGCCCTATAGACCTTTCTCATCTCCAGCGATAAAACTGAAGAAATAACCGCAAACTGATCCTCAAAGAGAGAAAGGGAATCCAAATAAGGCTAATTGTTTGTGCCCGATATTTCAATTTACTTAAAACACAGAACTTCGTGCAGTAAACAAAGGAAACACCTGAAATTCTCAAATTCTCCATTTTTATGGAGAGCGAGGAATTCTTTTGTTTTATAATGATTTGGGACATTTAAATAACCTTTCTCTTGTTTCTTGTTGCGTAAGCACGTGCATAATAACAGCCAATCAGGAAACGTGTTTTTTATTATCACAAAGTTGCTTTGCGGCGGTATATTCAAATTTAAAATTCTCTTACAATCATTTCGTTCGGGAAAGAAGATGCGAAAGTACAGTGCGTATCAAACCATTTTGTACTCTAGATCAATGTATCTCTTTCCCAAACAAGTTCATCCGACCATCTGTGTCAACCTTACTGCAAAATGTGAACAAAAAAGCCGTTACTTTCTCTGTTTATTCGACGAGACAGATTATTGTAGCGATAGCTGTAGCCGAGTAAAAGGTAGGTAGAGTTATTTGCTTTTGAATTTTTTTGTACGTAGTAAACGGTTGCAGTTCTTATAGCTTCTTATCGAGACTAAATTTTCGATAAGGTGGATTCATTCTTATCAGTGTTCAACGTTGAGACTTATTGCGAATAGGATTGTTAGTTATATAGAGAAAGTACTAGCGAATTGTTTTAACAAATATGGCCAAATCAAGATGAGAGTTATACTCTGGGCTGACTGTTTAGGGAGGTGAATTTTGATCCACTTTCCGTTTAACCTCGTAGTAGCAAATACAGGGCTCTAGCAACGACGACGGCGACAGCAACAAGAACTTCTAAAGCAATAGATTAGGTTTAATAAGCAAAACAACAACTCTACACGTGCAGTACCATTTTTCTCTACATTTTTTTTCGTCACTGCACGACCGCGATGTGAAATTCTATTGTGCGTCGATTTACGTTGGACGACGAATTTTCCTGTCTCCTACTTAACTTATCGATCTCCAGGATTTCAATTTCAGGGAAATTCAGTTATATTTTTTACATTTTAACCCAGCTGGAATGATCGTGACCAAGCGTCACCAAAACAGTCCTTAGAGCAACCTCGTTCCCGTGGAAGCCCAGTTCCTCTCCTACTCGGCCCCTGCGTCGGAAGGGACCATGGGAACGAGGTTGTCCCAAAATGCAATTCGAAATAATACAGTACAATGTTACAGGGAGTCCCAGGAGCATCTCAAATGACCATTTAAGGACTGTCTGGATTGGAGCGGGACGTTTTATTTCACTCCCACCAGTTTCTTTGAATATGAAAAAAAAAAGGATTAAATTAATGTAATATCTTAAAAGGAATAAAAATCATGGGGCAGTTTCTTAAAGGAACGGGAAAAAAGTTTAAAAAACTCAGAACTATAGAGACCAAATTTAAATGTAAAATCAGGTATTAATATTCTTGTGTCACCATTAAACAAACTAGAAATTATCGTAGCAACAAAACTCGACTATTATTGTAAGGTTAATTGACTCTAGCAATTATAATTTCCCAGGAGTTTTAAAGAAGTACTAAAACAACTGCTATTACGGCATTTACATTTCCCGACGCCACTACTGGTTTCCCCGCGAAGAACAAGCGCAGAATTTCCATACTGATGACATGTCACTACCCAGATCTAGGTAGTGCTGCTGATTGGTTGTGCTTCACCCAATCAGAAGCATTATCCAGACCTGCTCAGTGACACGCCATCAGTATGGAATTTCTGCGCTTGTTCGTCAAACGTCACATTTCGCGGGGAAACCAGTAGTGGTGTTACCAGGCTGGCATTAAACCGGCACGCGCATGCTTAGTACAGTGTACTGACACTCTTGCAACGATCATCATGTGAGCCGGACCCAACCGAAATTGTGTTTCCTTGCTACAATCAACCCCGCTAATACGGACACCGCTGATGGGGCCAGAAAAAGTGCCTGTACTAAGGGGGTGTCGCGTATTAAGCGGGTTGAATCAGAGAAAATGTAAGGGATTTCTTTCCCCAGGGATCCCCAGGGACAAAGAAAACTGTCTGTAATAATGAAGTGTCCGTTAAGCGAGGTTTGACCGTATTTTTGTTACCAAGCTTCCATTTGTACGGATTAGAATGTGCAATCGCCGCGAGGAAATGAGGAAAAATATTCCGATCAAAAAAAGCGATAAAATGTTAAAAAGATTCTTGTCAAGGCAAAAATCATAAGCATTCAGATCTATTAGATTCTGTTTCATTTTCGCACTAAGTTC